TCGTTACATTTAGTTTTGTGCATCTTTCTCGTATCCTATCTCAAACATATCATTGAACACATCATACCATACAATTCACATATTATAACATATGCATAACATATAAGAAGCATATCGATCCACAGACAATTCACACATATCAATATATATGACACATGCAGAACCACGGGGCACGTGTCAACATCAAATATAACTATGCCGATAGTAAGGTCACTTACCTGGTTAGCTTAAGTCGTTGTCACGTATATATCCTTAATGAAAGTTCGATTCCGTCCTTTGAAATCTAAGTCAACCTATGTGAGCCCATGACATCCGTTCCAAGTTTGAACTCTATAAAATTATTTTTCTAATTTACATTGTTAAAATTATGATATTTACTCTTAAACAAAATTTAATGGAGTTCCATGTCGTCTTATATATATATATATTTTTTTTTTTTATTCTATTCAACAAATCTTCTCTCAATATTCCCTCCTCCCTTTTTGTAATTATTTTGATTCTGTAAATAGATTTTCAGTTCGGTAAACATTTTCAATTATGTAAATAAGATATTACTCTAACTCTATATTTATTTTCATTTTTAAACTGATATTATTGGCCAATTTTAATCCATTGTTTAGTTACTATCTTCACATATTTATGAATCTAACTAAAATTTTATTGATTCTAACTTTATTTCTTATAAATTGCTAACAAAAAAATCTAATTAATTGAATTGTGATCTGATTATTACATGATCTGGTAAAATATGAAAGAAGATTTGATTCTAAATTAATTTCTTATAACCATAACTATGAACAAGAAATCTGGGATACTATTTTAGGGTAATAACAGATCAAAATCTCTAAGTAAATCTTCATCTTCGGTTGAAACGTTTATTTTGGAAGAAGATATTGTGGGCTGAGGAAAGAGGATGCTGTTGGGATGAAAGGTTAGTGGAGAGAGGTTGAAAATTTTTATTTTTATTTTTAAGTATTAATTTTTAGTTAATTATTTATGAATTATTATTATTGTTATTATTATTATTATTTTGAGGTATGTATATATATATATATATATTTTTATAATTATTCTTTGTTTATTTATTTTTATTATTATTAAAACCTAAAAATAAATGTAGATTTGACCCGAAAAAAGATGGAATTTTTACTCAAAAACTATATAACTCAAATCAAACTCAAAAAAATGGAATTCTTATCTATTTTTCTTCGGGTTAAATGCCAAGAAAATATGATAAATATGGTTAAGAGAAACACTGCCTTAATGTGCTTGAGATAATTTATGCTAATTAAAGAGAAAATATAGAAAATGCAATGAGGAATACTACTAGGAATTCAAAGAGAATTTGTGGCAGACGACATTGTTTTGGAGTAACTTTAGCAGCAATTATGGGAAGCTTTCGTTCGAGGTTTTTTGGCCAGAGAATGAACTTTGGCTTCAAGAACGATGCAACTATTGGCACTGCATTTGGCGTGCAGATAAGAAGGGTTTTTCTTTGTATAATGGTCAAACAAATGTGTACGAGCTCATACATCCATGGACTTCTTAGACAAAACCATCACCTTGGCCTTACTTCACATCAAATCCTTTCTTTTGTGTGAGAGTTGTGACGTGCTTGCTGCAACATTACTCTAATAAAAAGTTTACTAATCATTTTATATGGAAATTTTTAATATAAAAATACTTACCTCTCAAAATATTCAATTTGTTAAGGAAGAATAAAATAATTATGTGAACTTGAATATCATAATTTAGATCTTATAGAAAAATATAACGCACAAAAATGAAATAAATTTCAAAGCATATACATCAAAAATAAATTAAAACCTAAAAATAAAGGTATATTTGACCGAAAGGATGGAATTTTTACCCAAAAACTATATAACCCAAATCAAACTCAAAAAGATGGAATTCTTATTTATTTTTTCTTCAGGTTCAATGCCAAGAAAATATGATAAATATGGTTAAGAGAACCATTTATAACACTGCCTTCATTTACCTGAGATAATTTATGCTAATTAAGGAGAAAATATAGAAAATGCAATGGTCTGGTTTGTGGTTTTCTTTATTTTTTTA